GAGCTGCGCCCCCGGCTCCCCGGAACCACAGCCCAGGGGAGCCAGAGCGGGCCGTCGCCGGCCCCCAGCTCCGGGGAAAGGGAACTGCGACACGGGAAACCGAGAGCACAGCAGAGCCCGGTGTGTGCGGGGCGAGAGCTACACCTGTGGAGAGCGGGGACTGTGCATCCCCTGAGAACACCCACCGCGTGTCCCGCCTGCCTGGGAGAGAGCATGTCCCGTCTCTGCACAGAGTACCTGCAGCACAGCCAGCAGAGGAAATCAGAGCTAACCCAGAGTTCGTCTTTAAAGTGGGATTTGCTAGTCCCCTGCTAGTACAGCCGAGCCACGCGCCTTTATCCCAAGGGACGTTTTTAACCAACAGCACTTCGTTTAAAATAAGCCCAAGGCTGCGTTCCCTGCATTCCCTGTCTCAAAGCTCATCACTCTCTCCAGACAGAACGCTGGGCCAAGGGACATTTGTCTCCAGTATAAAGCAGGAGTGTTTCCTCCTTACCAACTGACCCGTACCGCACGGCAGACCCTCACACATCAACCAGCGCAGTCCTATTTATGAACTGTTCAGTGCTGAGAGCAACTGGAACCACCCCTGAGATCTGCCAAAGTCTGATTATCTCGTTAAGTAGGCTGTTTTATGAAATCTCAGAGAAACCCCAACAGCCAGCTATTTAACAAGAGATATTCAGAAATATTTACTCGGACCTACCCAAAGATTGGTTTTGCTCAGCAAATACTAAGTGGCCTGAACTCATTACCTCATTTCTAAACAGCTATAGCTTATGAAAATCAGTATGCTACATGTCTTGTTCTGGAAAACATTTGCATCTTTCCCATCAAGGCATTGTTCTAATTCTGCTCTGTTGTTTTCAGTGCAATTGAAGCGATCAGCTTCATGAGCAATCCCTCTCACACTTTACATCCAGAATGGAGAGTAGTATGTCATTTTGGTTAAGGTGTATCAAAGCTGATAACGTATTTAGGTAATAGATTTTTATAAAGCTTCCTCCTCTCTTCCTCAACCCTCCAAGCATGCTAGAACAGCACCACCAACATTCAAGTCACCTGAAGATACATTTCAGTACTTAAATCTGACATTAGATATTAAGTTAGCAATTGAACTGAACATCAAGAGAGCTTGATACTATTGGTCATCTCCCTCCTTCCAAAGAGAGAAGTCAGAGCATTTTCCTGGTATCAGGCTGTAGTCACAGATTTCACCAAAGCTACAGTTTTGAAAGCAACATGAACCTCTCTGGTCTTCTTCCTTTATCCGTTTGAAAGCATGCTGTTAGAATTTACAGAGGACTTCCAAATTGATTCCCTCTTCATTCTGTTTCAAGTTTCACTATAAAACAGCCAAGTTGGTGTAGGGGGGCCTTTAACCTCTTTATTCTGCCTCTGAAGTCATGTTTGCAGATTTGTCACTTCCTGAGTGATTGTACGCAGTGCTGGCTGTCACCCGACAGCCACCTTACCGATGTCCCTCTACTGACACGACCGAAGAACAGCACATGTGAGAAGTGAAATGGGCACTTGGAAGACTAGCAGACTTCATAAAAAGGAAAGAACACCCTTGGGTAATACGATCTTTGAGTGTGAAGGATGAACTGAAACCACTATTGCCTGTGAGGAATTTTACTTTGCACAACCCTTAAAGCTATGAAATTCCTCTCAACATAAAAAGTGGAAAAAACCCACCAGAGAACAGACAGCTCATTTATGAGCCAGTCTGGGTCATCTAGAATTTCTGCTAAGATTAAATTACACCCCTGCATGAATCACATAAAAGCTTTCCATTCTAACACCTTATTTACACAGATTACTAAGCAAGTCACTACCACTTCAATCTGTAAATCAGTTTTAAATTGAAATATTTCCTAGTCCTCATTTTTGTACCGAAGACAATACATACATACACATAAGGAGTAATACAGGTTCTAACTAATCACTGCAGTATCTTCTGATGATTATTTTTCTATCCGTTTAAAATAGTGACCTCTACACTGAGGTGCTAATATGTATATAAAAGCCTACACAAACAATATTGCACAAAGTAAGATTTATAATAGAGTAACATATTTTAGAGACCCTTATAAAGAGAAGAGTAATAATTGATATTAAAAAAGATGCATCCAGAACTAACACAGCATCTTTGCTTTTGTCTAGTCTAACATAGTGTTTCAAATCTTTCCTACCCCAGTGAGGATTAGAACAAATAAAGTCATCTGGAGACAGCTTAAGTTGCATCAAAACCCAACTTGTACTCTAAACCTGGGGAGGGGGAAGGGAGAGGGAGAAAGGGACAGGACTTTTCATTTTGATCACTAGAGAGGGCAGTAATAAATGGGATGAGTGAAAGGCAAATACAGATTACACATTAACATCCAGAAATATTGAAAGATTGTTTAAAAACTGTTGATAGCTGACACTCTACACATTAAGCACGTGCCACTGATTTTTCCACAGTACCTGGGCACCCAGAAGCTACACATGGAAACAGCAGTCCAATGCCATAACACTTTTTATTGTGAAACAGTAATACAGAACCTCCTAGAATAAGGACAGCCTCACTGTGTAAGTCAGTTACCAACTCAATGCTAGGATATTAAGTGCATCAGTACAAGGGGAAGTGTGGTTCCATTGGACACATCATGACCTGATCCAAACAAGCTGCCAAGTTGGTTAGTATTTTAAAGCCTTAAAGTGCTCAAAGATAGCAGTTTCCTCCACAAGACTACCAATAGGTTCTCTAATTTTGACACTATATTAATCATGTTCAGGGAAGATGTATTTTGGAAGCAAAACCCTCACACCAAACAACATAAGCAGTGCTATGACGTGTTAGGTCAGTAAGTCATTGCATTTCAACAGGATCAGACACTTTCTTCAGTTAATTTTACAGATCACCTTTGCAGGAACTCTAAGAAATAGAGAGAAATTTCTATAGCTTGTATATAAACCCAACTTGTATATAAACCAACATGTCAAGAACAGAAATACCAAAATTTCACAAATCATCAAAAGTGCTGTGCTTTCTCCTTTTTTTTTTTTAAGCAATTAAAACAAGATGGGAAAGTCACTTTGCAAGTCTTCTACAAAAGCATCACTTTCTGGTAAAGATTAGAGATAAAAGTAGGGAAATAACACTGACCAATATAGTTCAATCGTTTTATGTTACTGGAGGAATTTCATTCTGACTTTGAGGAGATATTCAATATCTCTTTACTTAAACAGAAAGAAGTGGTAGACCACTGTTACAGGTTGTACTAAGGGGTTAAAATACAACTTGAATTTTGCATAATCTGTGTAAAAAAGATATGCCTGACATTTTGGAATGTCACCTTTCTTTATAGAATTATAGGCAAGATTTCTCCAATAAAACATAAGCCAGTTATAAAACTATAACTTCACATCAAAATTTTAAAAAGTTGTTAAAAAAACATTTGATTATATACATATCACACAGAAGAGCCTGCATGATCCTGTGGATTGTGTTGCTGATCAGACTCTATTTTAAAACCTGGAAGGGGCTGGGCAGCCTGATCTGGTTGCACAAGTCCTGATACTGAAGAAACAGAGGAGGGGAGCACCCCTGGTGTAAGCTGCATTTCTACACCTGGTTCTTCAGGCTCTATTTTTACACTCACACATTGGGGTTCACCTTCTGACTCTGTCTTTCCAGGAACACTACTGTTCAAGCTTGAACTGTTCTCTGCATTTTGAGAAGTCTCCCCCACAGGGTGATACTGTTTAAGTCTGATGTGCCAGGCTAAGCTGCAGACTGCTGACACTGTTTTGAACTGATGAATGACATTTCTAGGGATGAAGTAGATGTCATTGTCACACAACTGAATTCTAGCATAGCGAATGCCTTCCCGTCTCATTTGGTTTAGTTTGGCTTCATCCACCCATTGAACACACTGGGAGAAGGAAAGATGGTAAAGTTAGTGGTATACCCTGGAAGAGTCAAAATTCAGTATTCACCTATTTTCAACATATTCTGTGTCTAAATCAGGATGTTCCTGTTAAACAGGTAAAACTTCAAATAAGAACTGGACTCTTAAAATATAATTTATCTCATGTGCACATCTTAAGAGAGGACAAAGAACAGCTAATAGCATTCTACAGTGACAGTTGAAAAAAGCAGGTTCGATGTGAGGCTGAATGGTTTTGGCTGACAGCACTGAGCTTAGATGCCTTCGCATCCTAAGACAACATCAGTACATTAGAAAAAGCAGAAACAGGCACACATGACTTCTTAATCAGCTTCCAGTTGTTTCTATAGCACATATTGTGACTCAAAGCATAAATCTCAGCTTGGTGGAAAGGACAAGCAGTTGGAGTAGAGGAGCACTGTAGGTCCTTTCCAACTGAACTATTCTATTCTGAACCATGAGAAGGGAAATGGCCCAACAGAGTTGTGAACTGAGGGCCACTAAGGATACAAAAGGGCTGGCTTTACAGTGAACCTGGAAACTGTCAGAAGCTACTTCCAAAATGCTAAGAATGAGCTGCCACTAGGGAAGATTTAATACCTGTGACACTGGAGGTTCATGCAGGTCCAGCTGAAGTCTCTGCACAACATCAGTGAAATCTTCAGCATGAAAACAAACCACATCTTTGGTTATGCGAGGCTGGTCACTCCTAGAAAAAGATGAATTCCAGAAGTTTTTAAAGAATTTGAGTTAGAGAATTATAGCTCTTTCCAGCAGAAAGTTGACAACAACCTCCTTCAGTTTTACACCAGCATGAAGTCTCATCACTTCTCAATACACATTATTTTGAAAAGGAGGTATAATTCAGATTTTTTTTTTTTCATTTTTCCTCCTTGAGGCATGCACAAATGAAGTGGTTTTAGTGGACAAATACTATACTGAAATGTCCAAGACCTAGGTTCAAATAGTCACTACCAAAGATCTGTGTTCTAGGAACCACAATTTGTCTCAATTCTTCCATTCTATAATTAGACAGAATAATTCTATGATTAAAGGAAAAAATGTAAAGTAACAAAGTAACTCTGAAGCTGAAGCAATGAGGAGCTGGGTTTTATTCAACAGCTGTGAATCAGAGTAAGGGAAGTTCTTGCACCTGTTAATCATATGAAACATCTAATGATGTTGCTAATTATGCTATACAATTTCTACTGTAATTGCTAGAAATAACAATGATGCAAGTCTAGTTTCTGTGCAGAGTCAACAACAATGTCCTCGGTACACGAAATGAGAAAGCACTGTAGCTATGAAGTTAATTACACTAGTTCTTAGATTACTGTTACAGAAGTTAGCATTAATATACCTATTCAGGAAAAGAACAATCACAGATGATGGTCCAGGCACAGTATTTTACAGCTTATTTTGTATGTCACTAAAATTTCCTGCAAACAGCTGTTATAACTTTTCTACTGCCTCAAGAAGAGAGAAAAATAGTAGGTAAATAGATGCTGTCTAGAGCCTGAAAAACACAAGCTGTCTTATTACAGGGTTTAAACCATTTCTTTGATTAGGCTTGTTTTCTAAGGAATTTTCTAAGAGAGAAAATGTTTAGAATTAACCCCTCCTACCAGAATAGTTACATTTCAGTGGCACTTACCATTCCCCAAACTGTACAGCCTTCAGAACACCTACAGCAGCAGTACTCTGCCAGTCAAACCCTTGACCCACATGATCAGCATGAGCTCTTGTTCTGTCTTCAAACAGAACCTCACGGGGCTCACTGGTCCGAGGTAGGTACTGGAGATTCTTTATTTCATTCATTGATCTACAACATGATAAAAAGACATACTAAAAAATGTTTCAGACTACTCAAAATTAAAAACTTTTATTAAAGCAATCTTAAAATGTTTGTGTTGCAGACTTCAAAATCAAAGACCAAAGCACTTCCCTCTGATTTTTTCTAGGTGTCTATTCCACAATAAAAGGTTGACACAAATACAGCAAAGTACAATTCAGGTTATGAGATCAAATGTTATAAAACAAATCCAATCACAAAAAAATTTTGGTCACTTGTGCTGGAAGAATTATTCCAGGAATTTAATGGATTGCAAGATAGAGCTATTTTAATAGATACTGAGGTAAAGTTATTTGGGAGTACATCAAAAAATTCTGCTTGAAATGACAATTAAAATATGCTTCCAGTTCTTTATCTCCTAAAATCTGTTCTACAGCACACTCTTTCTGAAAAAGACAGCAGGTACATATGTAAACCCCAATATTTCCTGAGAGGGTAGACAGTATTACAAGTGCTTTAGCACTAACATTAAAATGCAACATGAACGGTGCAAGGATCTCTGCTGGTTTAGAGCATTTCACCTGCCCCCCCCCCCCCCCCCAAATTAGTTCTTTCTACAGAAGTAAGAAGAATAAAACAAGTCTCCTGAAGGACAATAAAATGAGGTTTCAATCTTAAGAAAGCATTGATCTAGGACTTACTACTATGAAAAATGTTGAAAAATAAAATAACCATCACAAATAACTTATATTATCCACTGAGCCAATTTGAAACAAATTAAAATTAAACTTCAGTCTGTGAGTGAGCCTTCAGAAGAACTAGCTAGACAAAGTATTTCAGTTTTGTTCTCAGATCTAACTCAGACATAACTGCAATGTTTTACCTTTAATACAGAAAGGAAAACAAAACATTACCGGCGCCGTTTGAATGGTGATTTTGGCATATCAGCTGTTGGGATCATCTGCTCTCCTGGTCTCACCCACATTATGGGACCATCATCACTTTGTGACCTGCACTGAAGTCTAAGACTAGAAAGAGTACCCCAGGGCAAAGTCATCTAAAAGAAAACAAAACCAAAACAAACCACAAAACACACAATACAAAACACTGGGTGAGATATAAAAAAATCAAGCGATGCCTTCAGTAAAACTGGTTCAGATCTGCTGTCAAAAGAACTGGGTAGAAACAAAAATAAGCTCAAGAGACAAAATATATTCCAAGATAACTTTATCAAATTTAGTTTTTAGGGAAGCAGATGATTACATAGCATATGTATATGATAAACTATATTTAATTTTTTAATTATTTACACAACTGTAGCTACCTAATTCAGTACCTTTCATTTGGACACATGAAAGAACGTACCGCAGTAGCCCAAATGATAAACACATCAATAGAGAAAACACTTCTGGTTTCTAACCCCTTAGAAATATATGAAATGTAGTAATTGTGCTAGTATCTATATCACTCTAAACAAAATACCACAAGTTACTGCTTACTCTGAGAAAGGGAGATTCTTCTAACATATCCAGAAATTCTGGGAAGTAGTCCCCAACTTCTTCATCCACGGCTCCAACAAGGCTGATCTGCCGCATTGGTCCTGCTCTGTAGGTTCCACAGCAGTACGTTCGATTGACCTGAGAGGCCAGAGAAGAACACACACCACCACAGGTTTAGTTCTGTTACAAGAGATTAAAATGTATTGATACAGTACACTAGGCCATGGCCGAGATGACTCTTGTACCCATCTACAGCTATTTCACTAGAGATGCCTTGGGGAATATGCACAGAGCCTGGTACTGCTGCACTTCTATCCTCTAGCAGCAACCATAGATATTTAGCTTCTTAATTACAGGAGTTTAGCTCACTCCTATTTCCAAGTGAACAGCTCCAAACTAAAAGCTTAGCTTTAGCACTGGAGTATTGGAACAAATGAGCCAGAGCCAATGCAAGCAAAAAAATCCAGATAACACTGAAGCTTAAGTATTCAAATGTACAGAAACCAAACAGTTACACTACAAATACACACTGGAGTGCTTTGTTACACACATTCGGTTTACACCATCCTCACTGTCCTGAGAACAAAATAATTCCCTTTGCAATGGAGTTAATTATCACTAGAGTTTTATTAAGTCTTCCAGATTAAAGTCCTTATTTTGAACTGGAGACACTTCCTAGTAAAACTCAGTCTCTCTAAAAAGGTACAGAAAACAGCTGAATGTTGCACAAGCCAAAGGTCACATTCACTTTCAGTTAACTTGCAGTTAGTTTACAGATCAAAGTTTAATTTCTGGACACCACGCCTTCAGGACTCAAGACTACCTAATGCTCCCAATCCCCTTGCCACAGTATGGTTCAGGACAGCAAACAAGTTCATGCATATGGAAGGTTCAAGCTAGAATGGAGGTGACTTTTAACTGAGTAGCTTCAATTAAAAATAAAAGCAGCATTACAGCACACAACAATACCATAACATGCTTGATCTATAAAGTGCTTTTGTATTGTACAATTTCTCCTACAGGAAGGTCCAAAAGTGAAGCTTAGCCAATTTGACCATTCCTCAGCAGTGCTGCCAAGGAACAGTAGTAAAATTGCCAGGCTTACCCTCCCTGGGCTCTCTTTAGCAGGGCATTCTAGCCTTCTCTATTTGAAGATATGCTAGCTTGCAAAACAGGAGTTTTATCATCATGCAGCCCCACAGGTGAATCCACCATCAATTTAAACACATCCTTAAACTAAATACTTTACCATCACCTATACTCTCCAAGAAGTCCTGTTTCGGCTGTCTTAAGAGTTGTGACAACAATACTTCTGTTTGCTCGGTGTGAAACGCACCAACACACTTCAGCGAGAGAGGATTAACCAGGTCACGCTGAAGCTGGGTTTACAGAGGTGTTTTAGACCAACTGAACCTTATGTCATGACTCAATCTTAATCAAGTTCAGACAGTACTTAAAATAGAACCAAGGGAAATACCAGCACAGACTAGAACACAGCAAAGCCTTTTATTTATTACCATACATTCCGCACATTATCTAGTTATACTGTAAGCTGTACATGTTCACAAGAACAAGTGTAATTGTTAAATATCCACTTGATACTGTTCAGCCATTTAGGGGGCCATCACATGTACTCAAGGTAAATTAGAATGTAATCATGATGTTAAAGCACACAGGTAAATCATTGATACAGAAGACTTAAAACTAACTTGTGGACAAGTTTCCCATCTGCAGAGCACACCTAAAAGTGTTCTTACTGATAGCAGCAGTTTCTATGATAAGTTTAAATATGAGTTTAAATAACACCCAGCATCAGCTACTGATAGGATTAAGATGTTAAAAAAAACTTATTTTTTGTGCATGATATACTGAAACCTGAAAAGTAATGTCACTGCAAAAAAACCAGCTGTGAATAGAAAAAGTAGTGTTAGTATTTGGAATCCATACAGGCTTGCCCACTGTTTTGAACAATGTCAGCCTTCTCCCAAGTTTGGAACATCCACTGCAAGTCTGCAAGAACATCTGTGTTGTACAACTTTTAGGCCTTTAAACAGTTCTTACCTGAGAGTGAAAGTTTGAAATTGTTGTTGTTTCAATGTCCTTCTTGCCCAAAATTTCCATTTTCACTGGAGTGTTAGGAAAGTTAAAAGCAAAGTAATCCAGGAAGTCTGGTAAATAAGCAGCTGCTCCATGTACTATGGCTAAAGCATAGTAAGCTGCATTTTTATCATTTTCACTGAACGACAACGCAAGAAACTCCTCTGCAAATCTCTCCATCTCCACTGGAGACAAAAATGAGAGTTCATCCATGTAAGCATGAAGGACTAGAGCACCACCATTGGACTGATGTTCTTCATGAATGAAGTTACTAAACTTAGTGCCAGTTTTCAAGAAGCTGCTGCGAACAGAATGCTCCTGGTGTGTCACAAATGGTGTTTGTACTCCCTGGGGTATTCGATATTCCTGCATACCCAAATTCAGTCTGCAGAGCTGCTCATCCTTCAGGTACCTGAAGGATTCCTTGTTCATTTCGAAGTTATCACACTGTCCTTGAGACAGAGTCTCTTTGTCAATGCGAGTGAGTCCAGCACACACTGTCTGCACTTCTTTGTTGTACATCTTCAGGCGTTTTCCCCTCATATCTTCCCGGTGTTTCTTTTTCTTTTTTTTCTTTATCTTCTTCATAATAAGACTGTCGACTCGCTGGGTTTTGCCATTTTCATCTGGAGTTTCTGGCAGCAACAATAAAGAAAAGATTAGAGTTCTGCAGTTGCAGCATATTCACCCAAAAATAATTAAGACTTCTCACTTGCCTGTTCCCAGGAAGACTGACCAATAGCAATACCCTGACTTTTGACTTACAAGACTTAATTATACAACAAAAAATGCAGTACATCTAGTTATTACACAAAGAAAGCCTTGAATTAAGGAAAACGTTCAAAACTCAAGCTTAATATTTTAGAAATATTTCAATTTTTAATAGATTTATTAGAATACCTTTAAAAGGAGTCCATATTTCAGAACATCTATAATTAAGTACATTAATAACTTCTGACATTTAAGGCAGCGCCATGCAGGGGAAGAGGATAAACAAGTACACGTAACATTTAAACATTAAGATTTTCATTACAGAACATTTCCCTGATTTTGGATACACAATGTAGAAGCAAAACAGAGAGCAACTGAAGAGGTACAAGCAGACTGACATTCAGAGGTAAAAATACTTCAAGCAGTTAGCTTTCTGGCCAAAAAAAAAAAAAAAACAAAAAAAAACCACAAACCCACTTAAGACTGCTGATCTTTTGTATTAAAGGATCCGAATCATCACATTCACCCCTTCTGCTATCTTTTGCTAATTTTATAGTTAACTACTCAGGTAATTCAAAGCTAGAAATGAAGAGGGGGTGGTTTGGGTTTTGGGGGGTTTTTAAAGGTTAATCAACCTGTAACAGGCTAAAGGCTGAGAAATAAAGTGTAAGGACTGTTCTGTTAGGGAAAACGTAATAGTTTAATTCCTTATCTTTAAGGAATAAAAACTAATTCAAATAATATTTACCAAGTGACAATGGTAGGTAGAAATCTTGATGGTCCATCTGTTAAACTCAATTGCCAAGACAAAATTTTAACCTGCCTGAATCAAAGAACTATTTCATGTCAACAACGCACATAAAACTCGAAGAGCCACACCAGCAGGACAGCTGTGGGGATCAGAACAGGTAACATCCGACTAGAAGATGCAATAGCTGAAGTTTTCCAGTCTCCCACAGCACAGGGCTTTGTGCTAACATTTCCCTTCTTTGTCTGCTAAGCTGTCAAATTTGTATTCCCTCTTTATTCTCTTGCAGTACTTGAAGAAAAAAACATCACACTGACCTATGAGAAAAGGAGTAATGGTAAACACAGGGAGCTTCAAGTTATTTCGTGTAACCACAGTGTTTAACTGTATCATTACTGGTTTAGCTCAGAGCTCTTCAGTAAAGGTGGCTGACCTTCCTAACAGCCTGGTGTAACAAACAGACTTAGGAAGCAAAGAAAGAGTTGATTGCTTAACACTAACTTCACACGATTGTCTTAGGACCTGAAATACAAGTTTTCATAGTGCTGCTGTTAGCCTTTACAAACAGCAAATGCCCTTATTTTTATATCACAGCTAGGGAAACCAGGAAAAGAAAGGTGGTACCACTTGTTTTGGTAAGTCAACTGAAACAGTTCTTTGAATAAGCTTTTCTGGAAGTCTCAGAAGTCACGCGTGCATAAGCTTACTCAATCACTAAGCTCTCAAGTACAGATTCCTGTTTGAAGATATTCCCTAACAGCAGACATACATTCCTTGCGCTTTGGAAGCTCCAGTGAACACTGGTCTATTTTCAGGACAAAAGCTGACTCCTTCCACTGCCGTAACCACTGCACACAGCACAGTCCAGTCCCACTGCTACAGCGAGAGCAGCCTCTGCATTCCATGAAGCTTCACAGCAACAGTATGGTAATGCCTGACAGTCTCAAAGGAAATATAGCTTTAATTACTCCTTTAAACAAATGGAAAGCCTCCAGTACCTCAAACACAAAGAAGGCTACAGCTAGGTCATCAAGCTATGGGCTCGCACAGTGAAGTTAAAAAACAGCAGCGCCCATAACTCGGCTGGTCTAAAACTCAGACATCACATAACCAAACACACCAGTGTCTCTATTAAACAGCAGAAACACTGGAGATGTTCCCTGTCACCTGTGGCCAAATGTAAGATTAGTACAGTCAAAGAAACAGGCAGTTAAACTGGATTATACCTAAAGACTGATAGCGAAAGACAGGAAAAGAAATCCAGCTCCATCCCAAAACCCACTACATGGCAGTCTAGAACAAATAAGGAAGCGCTTCAGACTGTCAGTTAGCAAACACCTTTCCTCTGCAAATCTGGAATTCAGCTGGGAATTTTAACAGCATTTAAACCTTCATTAAAAGAAGGCCTCATTTGATAACTGGGTTAGAACTGGCAAACAGTGACACTCCCAATCTACAAAGATATTCTACTTCTGTAGTTTTATCAACATTTATCAAGCTAAAGTTTGACATTTACAATCCAGTTGCTTTTATAGTCATTATTCAAACACAGTGGTTTAGAAGCATTAACAGTAGTGAAAAGTCCCTCTCCATAACAGTCTGTTAAAACTTTTAGACAGTCATAAGACAGTAGTATCCAGAGTTTACACTACAGACCTAACTTTCGCAAGCATGTTCATCTTTGGTTTCTTTGGCACAGTACCTTCACACATACTCCCGGAGCATAATCCACAACATCTTTATTACAGCAGCTTTGGCAATTGCTTTTTACCTATGTCGATCTCACCAAGAGGCTTTTTACTCTTACAGATTTGTGAGCAGAACCAAAATAGCCATTCTGTACTGCTAAAAAATTAAAAAATACACTGCCCCCACCACCCCAAAATCCAGAGACGCTTTGGCCTTCCTATTAGAGAAACCTCGGGGCGTTTATTAAAAAATAAAGAAACAGCGGCTCCTCGGTTCTGGTGTACGTTAACGCAAGCACAGCAGGAGGAGAGCACGGGTATCCGCACCTGCGAGGAGACGGTCGGGAACGGCAGCCCTGCAGCAGGAGCAGC